CCCCAAAACCCCAAAACCCCAAAACCCCATCTTGCTAAATTATGCAGTAATTATGAAATTTAGAATGAATTAATGGCTTAGAATAAATAAGAATATATAAATTGCTTTCATTAAATATTGTATTTTCTCGAGTATTATAACTCGAAAGTTTTCTAAGACTAACATCTTATATTTCTATTCTGAGTTAATGTACATCAAACTTTCATAAATCCTTTGATCAATCTTATGATTATTGGTGTAAGGTCTCAAAGTAGGCTTACAACTGATTAAAAACTTAGGTTATGTACGCTACGTTATTAGTGTCTAACCTTGTTAGTGATTGAAGATTTTCCCCATGCACATTTTAAAGGTACATATTCATCATGACTTTCATTTTAGCCATGTTCAATGCTTTTAGCAACAGTTATGATTAATAGAACGACAAATTGATGTTTACTTCACTAGAATTTGTTTCAAGTAACTAGATGTAGAGACCCTTCAAAAACTGTGTAAATATTTCTTCTTTGATTTCTGCTATTATCTAGTTTTGAGCCTCCCTCTAATCAGATTTTTACCTAGTTTCTTCACTTTCCTCAGACTATATTTCTAAAAAATCATCGATAGCCTTATTTCTGTTAACTTCTTATTCAATTGCGCAAGACATTATTGTTACATAGCACAGATTTATAAAATTATCCTATTTTGTTTGCTATTTATTTTCTAGAACATTTACTATTTTCTCCTGGGTCAAATTCAAATACTCAATAGTCTTAAACTTTTAGGGTACATCAATAGAATCAAAAGCTTTTTCAATATTTAATTCTGATTCATTTATGTTCTCTTTGTTCCATTAGATTACTACACATGCAAGTCCAACCATGATAATGCTATCATATTAAGTAGTAGTGTTACTCAATCTAATCTGCTCAACAATTATTTCCTTTTAGTTATACTACATGTATGAGTCTAGTGTGTTCAAACATTGCACCCTGAAATAATAATCTTTTATAGAGAGCTCTTAGAATAACTTCTCAATATTTTTGATAATGTCTTTTCTAATTTTAGCCATTAATCCATAATTTTATTGAGTATTTGAGCATGGTGTAACATCTTTGCTCGTTTATTTAGATTTACTACTATCGCTTTCGCTAGATTTTAGTTTGGAGTTACTCATATTTATTTTCTACAGCTATTAAAAATTTTCAATTTGTTCTTGCTCCTTCTTTTTAAATTCAATTGGATTATTTCTATCAAGTGACATGTCCTAAATTTAAAATTTTCTTCCTTCAATGTTAAAGCCTTCATCATTATGACTAAATTTATTGAGTTTTGATTAGATCAAACTCATGTTTGCTTCAATTTATAAAGAATTTCCATTTTCCATGAGAGATTCCAACTTTTATTTATTATTGATATTCGGTGATTAATTCCTATAATCATTATTCAAGGTGGCTTGTGCGATTATAGCTATTGTTGGATCTGGAACTTATCCGAAAGGATTTTTTAATGAATTTTACAGAGTCAAGAGTTTAGCTTGTTCTTTAATCAAGTTGAAGTAATTGAGATCTGAGTCTTTAGGTTTTTCCTTGTCGTTATTATTATACGATTTTTTCCTGGAGGTTTCAATACTTTCAATGATAAGTTCACTGTTGTTGCCGATATTTTAATTGAAGAATACATTTCTGCCGGCAATTTTACTGCTAGAAGGAGTGTTTTGTAGCAGTGAGCCTTTGTGTTTAAAAACATAATTGCGCATGCTCTGATCATCATGCTCCTCATTAATTAGGCCTTCATCATAATCTTCACAGTCATCTTGAAAGTTAAATGATTCTCTTTTTGGTTGCTAGGTTGCTTTCATTTGTATAGTTTTAATTATATCGTGAATTAGATTAATAAATATAAAACTTAAACTTATAAAAAATCAATTTCTACAATCAACTAAGTAACTGAGTTTGATTATGACTTATAAACTAGAATAATCTATTGAATTATAGATTTCATTTTTGCTTTTCATATTTTACAAATTTACCATTCAATATTGATTCTTGGGGTTTTGGGGTTTTGGGGTTTTGGGG